CTTTTTATGCCTTACTATACTATGACTTTTTTATTACTTTTTATGCCTTACTATACTATGTCTTTTTTATGACTTTTTATGCCTTACTATACTATGTCTTTTTTATGACTTTTCATGCCTTACTATACTATGACTTTTTATGACTTTTTATGCCTTACTATACTATGACTTTTTATGACTTACTATACAATGACTTTTTTATGATTTATTATACTGTGACTTTTTGTATGCCTTACTATACTATGACTTTTTTTTATTATACCATGACTTTGTTATGACTTTTTTTACTTACTATACTATGACTTTTTTGCCTTACTATACTTTCACTTTTTATGCCTTATTGTCATATAGTGTTTACTATACTATGTGGTTTTTATCAATATTTTTTCCTTACCATACGTTGACTTTTTTATGCCTTAATGTCACCAGCTTGTGTTAAGAGTTAAAATCACGAAGCCACAGACACAAAACACAAGAGGGCAAATGTGCAAATATAAAATAGTTTAATATAGTAAAAGTACAACACAGGATGAAAGATGGAGATTATTACCTATGACTAAACAAAAAAGAGCTACTGGACAGTATCAACAATCCCAAAATGAAAATACATTAGCTTTAAAACAACTATTCCAATCCATTCCCCTAAGGCTAAGACTATTTCCCAGATTTAGTATCTCAATGTTCAGTCAATACCCAGTCCAATAAATGATGCTACTTGTGGGACTAATCCCAGCAACAGCCCAATATCTAGGCATCCTTCCCTGTGCAGGTCTGGATGTTCCTCCCTCCATCTGTCCAAGGTGGAAACTGTAAAACAACAATACACACAATCAAAGTATACACTATGACATTTTATGAAATTTGATACCTTACTATACTGTGACGTTTTTACCAAATTTTTTATGCCTTACTATACTATGACATTTGTATATCATTTATGGCCTTACTATACTATGACGTTTTTATGACTTAATATTTTTAAGATTTTTTTATGCCTTTCAATACTATGACGTTTTAGGACATTTTTTGCCTTACTATACTATGATATTTTTATAAAAGTTTTTGCCTTACTATACAATGACGTTTTTATGACATTTATATGCCTTACTATACTATGATGTTTTTATGGCTTAATATTTTTAAGACTTTTTTATGCCTTACTATAGTATGACATTTTAGGACATTTTTTGCCTTACTATACTATAAAAAAAATTTTAACATTTTTTGCCTTACTATACTATGATATTTATATACCTTACTATACTATGATGTTTTTATGGCTTAATATACTGTGGCATTTTTATCAATATTATGATTTTTTTTATGACTTACTATACTATGACATTTTTAATGACTTTTTATGCCTTATTATACTATGACTTTTTTATGACTTTTTATGCCTTACAATACTATGACTTTTTAATGACTTTTTATGCCTTACTATACTATGACTTTTTTATGACTTTTTATGCCTTACTATACTATGTCTTTTTTATGACTTTTTTATGCCTTACTATACTATGACTTTTTTTTGACTTACTATACTATGACATTTTTATGCCTTACTATACTATGACATTTTTATGACTTTTTATGCCTTACTATACTATTACTTTTTTATGACTTTTTATGTCTTACTATACTATGACTTTTTTATGAATTTTTATGCCTTACTATACTATGACTTTTTTATGACTTTTTATGCCTTACTATACTATGACTTTTTTATGACTTTTTATGCCTTACTATACTATGTCTTTTTTATGACTTTTTTATGCCTTACTATACTATGACTTTTTTTTGACTTACTATACTATGACATTTTTATGCCTTACTATACTATGACATTTTTATGCCTTACTATACTATGTCTTTTTTATGATTTTTTTATGCCTTACTATACAATGACTTTTTTATGACTTTTTATGCCTTACAATACTATGATATGCCTTACAATACTATGACTTTTTTATGACTTTTTATGCCTTACAATACTATGACTTTTTTATGACTTTTTATGCCTTACAATACTATGACTTTTTTATGACTTTTTATGCCTTACTATACTATGACTTTTTTATGACTTTTTATGCCTTACTATACTATGACTTTTTTATGACTTTTTATGCCTTACTATACTATGACTTTTTTATGACTTTTTATGCCTTACTATACTATGACTTTTTTATGACTTTTTATGCCTTACTATACTATGACTTTTTTATGACTTTTTATGCCTTACTATACTATGACTTTTTTATGACTTTTTATGCCTTACTATACTATGACTTTTTTATGACTTTTTATGCCTTACTATACTATGACTTTTTTATGACTTTTTATGCCTTACTATACTATGACTTTTTTATGACTTTTTATGCCTTACTATACTATGACTTTTTTATGACTTTTTATGCCTTACTATACTATGACTTTTTTATGACTTTTTATGCCTTACTATACTATGACTTTTTTATGACTTTTTATGCCTTACTATACTATGACTTTTTTATGACTTTTTATGCCTTACTATACTATGACTTTTTTATGACTTTTTATGCCTTACTATACTATGACTTTTTTATGACTTTTTATGCCTTACTATACTATGACTTTTTTATGACTTTTTATGCCTTACTATACTATGACTTTTTTATGACTTTTTATGCCTTACTATACTATGACTTTTTTATGACTTTTTATGCCTTACTATACTATGACTTTTTTATGACTTTTTATGCCTTACTATACTATGACTTTTTTATGACTTTTTATGCCTTACTATACTATGACTTTTTTATGACTTTTTATGCCTTACTATACTATGACTTTTTTATGACTTTTTATGCCTTACTATACTATGACTTTTTTATGACTTTTTATGCCTTACTATACTATGACTTTTTTATGACTTTTTATGCCTTACTATACTATGACTTTTTTATGACTTTTTATGCCTTACTATACTATGACTTTTTTATGACTTTTTATGCCTTACTATACTATGACTTTTTTATGACTTTTTATGCCTTACTATACTATGACTTTTTTATGACTTTTTATGCCTTACTATACTATGACTTTTTTATGACTTTTTATGCCTTACTATACTATGACTTTTTTATGACTTTTTATGCCTTACTATACTATGACTTTTTTATGACTTTTTATGCCTTACTATACTATGACTTTTTTATGACTTTTTATGCCTTACTATACTATGACTTTTTTATGACTTTTTATGCCTTACTATACTATGACTTTTTTATGACTTTTTATGCCTTACTATACTATGACTTTTTTATGACTTTTTATGCCTTACTATACTATGACTTTTTTATGACTTTTTATGCCTTACTATACTATGACTTTTTTATGACTTTTTATGCCTTACAATACTATGACGTTTTTATGACTTACTATACTATGACTTTTTTATGACTTTTTATGCCTTATGACTTTTTTATGACTTTTTATGCCTTATGACTTTTTTATGACTTTTTATGTCTTACTATACTATGACTTTTTTATGACTTTTTATGCCTTACTATACTATGACTTTTTTATGACTTTTTATGCCTTACAATACTATGACTTTTTTATGACTTTTTATTCCTTACTATACTATGACTTTTTTATGGCTTTTTATGCCTTACTATACTATGACTTTTTATGACTTTTTATGCCTTATGACTTTTTATGACTTTTTATGCCTTACTATACTATGACGTTTTTATAACTTTTTATGCCTTACTACACTATGACTTTTTTATGACTTTTTATGCCTTACTATACTATGACTTTTTTATAACATTTCTTTCCTCACTATACTGTGACGTTTTTATCAATATTTTTTGCCTTACTCTATTATGACATTTTTATGACTTTCCATTCATTAATATACTATGACTTTTTTATGCCTTATTGTAGTATAATGTTTTTATACCTTACTATACTATGACTTTTTTATGACTTTTTTTGCCTTACTATACTATGACTTTTTTATGCCTTACAATAATGACATTTTATGCCTTACTATACTACGAAGTTTTTTTTTCCTTACTATACTATGATGTTTTTATGCCTTACTGTATTATGATTTTTTTATGCCTTACTATATTGTCATTATTTTTTGCCTTACTATACTATGACATTTTTATAACATTTTTTGCCTTACTATGCTATGACTTTTTAATCCTTACTATACTGTGGCATTTTTTTATGTCTAACTATATTATGACTTTTTCTGCCTTATATATATATGAAATAGTCGATATGCAAATTAGTTAAAACAACATGCTTTTTAAAACTATATGTTATATAATAATGCTATATAATAATTTCTAATTAAATTTAAACATACAGTTCTATCTTTTATTTTTACATATATAAAATGAACATTTACTGATAGGCTTCGAGATGGATACAGTATATATTTAACATAAACAGACATACTAAAATACATGTTTCTATCAGCTATACATTTATGTCAATATATGATAGTGTTCCAATAGGTTTCATATGTAATTTTTACATATATAGGCTATACTTTAAACAGGTCTACATATATGATTTTACTTCATATGTACATTTATTTCAAACATGGAAATTCAACACATGTGTGTATATACTGTATATATATATATATATATATATACAAAACATTTGCAAATGGGCATTCCTGAATGTAAATTCCGATCTTACATATTAATAAACCGTTTGGCTGACGACATTAAAAAGCCAATCTCTTTGTTTTTGAGGGTTGTAATATAGTATATTAATATAGTATGTGCAAACACAAGGTTTGTATTATATTGTAAATCTATATTAATTGCCATGGGTGATAAATTAAGTTGTCTGAACTGAACTTAACTATATAATAATTTTCAGTAATGAATTCGCCAGAATCCGTAAATAAATAAATTAATAAATGACTTAATAATCTTTTTTCATATCAGTTTTAATTCCGGCACAGCAGGGGGCGCAAGAGTCGCGACGTGACGTCATCGGATGAAATTAAACATGGCCGACAGTGAGTAATAGATGGCGAAAGTTAGCGAAAATCGTTGGTAAAGTCCGGGAACTTCTCAGTGTTTGCTGTAGGTATTTGAACTTTATAGTGCGTTGTTACTGTAAATTTCATATTTGGACGCATCTCTCGCATGAACTGGAGATTTAGATCAAGTTTGTTCGTCCGTAAAGGCCTTACTAAACTGGGCATTAGCCCGCAGTGTTAGCCACGTTAGCACCGAACCAGCGCCTGCTTTTGTTTTTGTTACGGGGTATGTGCTAGTGGGCTGTCATTGTGAAGCCTTTAAGCCCTTTTTTTATTTGGCCTTATTTCTTAAAAAGCTACCGCCTTTTCTGGAGTGGACTGTGTAGTTGATTAGATTAACTTCATCTTTTTTATACAGTATCGCGGGTGGGGTCCAGCCCGTCTCGCAGCGTGTTGGCAGCGTTGTTTTCATTAAAGGCCAACTTAGAATCAGAGCCATACTTCTTACAAAACTGACGGACATTTACTCGCTTTTTAGCTGCCGGACTGTGCCTGTGTATGAACATTACGCCCAGGAAATATGGATTCAAAGCGCGCACACGGCAAACCTCAAACGGGCGGCGACGGCAGCAGCGGTGACTCCAGCTGCGGCAGCCCCGCGTCCCCGTGCAGCAGCCCCGCACCGGCAGCCAGCACAGCCCCGGTGCCCGGGGGCAACGTGTTCGCTAACGACGGCAGCTTCATGGAGATGTTCAAGAAGAAGATGGAGGAGGAGGAGAGGAGGAAAAAGGAGATGCAGCAAACAGGTGGAGCCGCGAGGGCCACCGAGCAAGGACAGACATCAGTGGAAAAGAAGCCCCCTCCCGTGACGAGCTTTGTAAGGGGTTTGCCAGTTGTAAGATGAGATAGCAGTAGTTCAACACACATCCAAATTAAAGTCTTGCTCTACCTGGCAATTGAGTTATTACATCCTGAAATAATGGCCAGTATTTCAGTATTATTTGTAACATTTCAAACACATGCCAGTGCTAGTGTTGTACTTGCATTATTTTACACTGCAATATGTAACCAATAGATCAGTCAAGTCTGGGGATGCTCCTCACTGATGATGGTTTCGCTGGTGGTGCGGCAGGAGACTAAATGTAGACCTTCTGCTCTGGTGTAGTCTCCTTCATTGGCAGTCCACCTGCAAGGGCTCCTATAACGGTTTCAGTCTTCTATCCCCTAACCCAGGTGGGGAAGCGCAGAGGCGGTGTGTTCCTAAAGACCGGCATGGTTGCGAAGAAGCAGAAACAGGACTCAGAAGTAAGTGGGGTTGTTGGTGGTGGTGGTGGTACCAGCATGATCTGTGTGTACTTTTTAAGTCCATGAAGTTGATCCACCTGTGCCTCCTTTCCTCCAGGCTGAACCAGGCAAGAGCGATGCTTGGTCAAAGTACATGGCTGAGGTGAAAAAGTACAAAGCCCACCAGTGTGGCGACGATGATAAAACCAGGCCTCTGGTCAAGTAGGCTCCCAAAAGGTTAACGTGGAGTGACAATGTCGAGAGGGGAAACCATCTGGGAGAAGCACCAGGAGGGCCGGCCAATCCTGACCTTCTCATACTGCCAGTTCAAGTTACCCTTCACATCAAGTCTTTCACAAACTGCTTAGACTGACACCCCTCTCCCCGTTTTTGTATCATTTTTTTTTTCTTTTTTTGTCTTGCTTGTTATTTGTCGGACGTCAGTGATTTGATCTGGTGTCAAAAGGTGTTTCAGAAACTTGACTTTCATTATTCATCGTTGTTGAATCTTCTCAAATTTGTCATGTCTGTTTATGTTAGGGTTCATTGATAAATTTGATTTGTTAATAGTCAAATCAAGGTTTCAATTAAACCTACACTGCCTATTTATGTGTGGTGTTGTGCCTCAGTTTTGTTAAAGAGTGTGTTACCTTCAGTTTTGTGTGTTAGCTCTAACACGGTATTTAATACTAGGAGCATCAGTTGCATCACAAACTTCTCTATTGTGAAGGGAAAGATTTTAATTAAAAGTCAGCTTGAGTTCTGTACAGAAACGAATTCATTTGAGAATTCAAGTACAATGAAAAAGTTTACATCTTTCATTGGAAAAAAAAAAAGCTCAAATTCAACAATTTGCAGTTTACATTTCTTACAGGTATCAGTGATAATTACATTATGATAAAAACAGCACCAAATAGACACACTGACCATGCATCAGAGAGGGAGACATACAAAGGCACACGTTCACCGCCACCAACCACACACAATCAGACACTCACACACACACACAAACACACACTCACACACTCACCTAGAAAACCCATTCATTCCTTCTCCCTGTCCACAGTGATATAGGTCTATCTTGTAAACATTGACAAACAGTATTTGTCATTTTATTTAACAATTCTATGAAGAATAGTATTTAAAACTTATCAAATTGTTTAAAAAAATTATATTTAACTGTGGTATTCATGAAAACTTGAGCTGATCCTCTCAGATCAAGTATCAAATGTGTAGCTCAGTCTGTGTTTCAGACCCCTGTTATCAGTGGTCTGTCCCAGCTGTCACCCAAACCCACATTTCCATCCTGATTTGTCCCAACGTCCCGTCATCTCATCAGACGGCATCCACTGGGTGGAGAAATCCAGCTGTATCATAGAGTCTTCCTCTTAGCGTCTCCTCCCTGGCTTTGACTGACATCTGGACAGGAATAGTACAGTTCTTGAAATCAGTGAAGGGCAGTGATAGACAAAAAGAAAAATAAAATACACACGTATATACTACAGAGACAGCTGAAATGAGTCCATAAAAAGGCATGCGGCCACCAACAGACGAGCAGAGAGCAGAACAGGACCAGACAGAAAAGGACAACCTGAGACAGAACACCAGACACTTTGGAAAGAAGAAAGAAAGGCAGGAGAGGGAGTAAATGGAGCAGGCGTCGAGGGTGGAGGGAAGGTCAGATTTTACCTGAGAAAGCGAGCTGCAAGTGAGGAGGCAGAGCAACCTGAGACCCTGACTGGAGACTCTTATACAGATCTGAGGAGACAGGACAGGGGAGCAAGGAGGAAAAGGGAGGGAGGAATAGATGCCAACAAAACAGGGAAGGGAGGAGGAGGGTGAGAGGGTGGAAAAGAAGGAAGAGACAGATGGGGAAAGGAGCAAGATGGCGTAGAGGTCAAGAACAGGTAATGACAGCCAAACAGAGGAGGAGATAAAGACAAGGAAGAGGAGTGAGGCCAAGTGAGTGACAGGTGGGGGAGAGTAGCCGACACAGGGTTGAGAGAAATTTTGGGATATGAAGCAAACAAAATGGAATAATGTCAAACAGGAGAAAAATCACAAGCTTACATCTGACACACAATATGGTGATAAAAACATGATGCTCTAACATACAACACAAAACAAAGCCTGCACAGGAACACCCAAACAGACGACAGCGTACTGATGCCACATACACAGAGTGCCTGTCTGTTATAGAAAAATATTTAAATACTAATAATATTTTCCACATTATACTATTTATCATATTTAGTGCCCGTCATTAATATTAAATGTGTGTGTGGTGTTCAGTTTAAATTTCATCTGAATACAGCAGCCATGTTTCTGCCCCGCGTTCATCACTCACTCTGGGTCAGGGTAGAGAACGTTGCATTGCTACTGGCTGCGGCGCCGCTGGCTGCCGTACTGGAGCCCGCCGTACCCAGCGGAGGCAGGTTCAGCAGCGGGGGGAACTGGAAGGGCAGGGACACGGGCACCAGGCCCCCCAGCATCCCAAACCCCAGGGGAAGAGACGAGGCTGAGCCGAGCAGACTGCCGCCGCCTGCTGTGGAGACCTGAGCAGAAACAGATCAAGATTTTAATAAATTAGTTTTACAAAATGAAACCTCTGTGTATTATGCAGCAGAATTACTGCTTTCAGTATTAACTGTATACTGTTGTAATGTAATTATTTTTACCGATTCATTTGCACAAGTATTTTAGTGGGAACTCATTTTAACTTCTATATAATGTATTGCTATTGTTGGCTAGTTTAACCTTTAATAATGTAGGATATTATATTATATATCATATTCTTAACAATAAGTAAAAATGCCCATCACACTTTCTTTTCAAATTTCTTAGTTTTGTCCAAACAAGTAACCGTGAGACGTTTCGTGTACAGTGATGTCAAACAGAAAATAAGAAAATCATTTTTGTTCGAACCATTAATCAATTATTAAAATAGTTTCTGATTAAAGTTTTGTGTTTTAAATCTGAATCCACAAAGTAACTACAGATGCTTTTTAAATGTAGGAGGAATAAAGTAGCATCAAATGAAAATTGTATAAGTATAAGTGCTTCAGATTCATACTTAAATACAATACTTGTTTAGTCATGCAGGTAATTTTGTTGTGTTTGCTGAGACTTGTGAACGACCACAATCTCTCTCTGCAGTCAAATGTCCCGGCTTCTCCTGACGATACACAGACCTTTATTTTTCTTTTGTTCGAAAAACATCATCTAAGACAACGCCGTTCATATCAAGGTCTGGGGATTGTCACGAGGAACACGAGGGACACTGGGTCTGGAAAATCCATTTTTCGATGCTTTGAGTACCACAAATTGAATTCTGTCACGTATATTGCAATGTGCTGCCACTGCAGGTTTCCATAGCGACATTCAGCAAATAAACCCACATGGTTAAACACCACTACAAGTGGAAAACTGTGTGTGATTTAGGCGAACTTCTTCGTATTGTTCCAGAGCGCGTGTGAATACTGAACAACACTGACTAATCCACGTACTATTCAGATGAGGAAACCAAATTAACGAGTAGCTCACGTGTTGAATTAACATTAACATTTTGTCTCTTTACAATGAGAGTTTTTTTTCCTGGATGTGGTGAATGATCAAAACACTACATGTGCTGAATAATAATTGCTGGCGGTACAAACCTGTGGCAACTGAGAAGAGACGGATGATGATGAAACAGACACGACAGACTTGGCCCCCTGAGGTGTCCCACTCCCGGGCCTCTGACGCTGGCCTGGGTTGGCTGAGACCACGGTGGGGGAGGCACTGGACCCTGAATGTTTGCTTATGGATGAGGTGTTAATAAGGCTGGTGTTGGTGGTGCTGTTGTTGTTGGGGGTCTTCTGGCCGCCTGGAGGAGTGTAGCTGCCTTGCCCTGGCTTGGTTGCTCCACCTTGGGCACCTGAGAACGTCGGGCGGAACCCTGCTGGGGTTTTGGGAGAGTACTGGTGTATGGTGGGGGTTGCCTGAGACCTGGGGCTTTGAGAGATGGAGGGCGAGGCTGAGGTGGTGGCGGTAACGACGGGGTTAGGGGTGCGGGGCGTGAGTTTGACAATAGGTGGGATGCTGCTGTGTGTGGACTTGGTGAGAGTGGCGTGCATAGGGGTGATGAAGTTAGACTGCGGCCGGGGCTGGGGCTGAACTCCAGGGTGCGTCTGCGAGAGGGAGGGGGAGGATTTATTCGGAGGCGTGTGGGGCAGGCGGGGCGCCTGGAAGGTTTTGGGGGTCATGAGCGAGGTTGATGAAAGGGTGTGTGGTCGAGACTGAGGCGACGTGAGGATGAGAGCGTCACCACTGTTGCCTTTATTATTATTGCTGCCTTTGAGGAGGCCAGAGGGGGGAGTGGAGACCCCCGCCTTTGATCCTGGGGGCACAAGTGGAGACGCGGTGGGCGGTGGCCGTGGTTTAGGTGGCGACGCTGAGGCAGGCATGTTGGCTTTTGCCACACCCAAAGGTCTCTGAGTGTTCAAAACTGAGTGTCTGTGCGCCTGCGGCGTGCCCTTGACGACCCCCATCCCATCCACCCTCACTGAGGGCAGAGGAGAGGACGTGATGGAGGAGGGCCGAGACAGAGAGGTGGAGGAAGACGAAGAGGTAGAGATGTAGTGAGGTGCATTGGAGCTGGGAGTACTGACGGCGTTCTTCTTCTGCTGCTGCTGAATGAGTAGCGAGGCGTTGAGGGAAGAGGGGTTGGGGGTTGTCCTGGATCCATCCGGGGACGGGGGGCTGTCCCCCTGGGCCAGGCCCTTGGCTGCGTTCCCGAGGATGGCGAGGGCCTGGGAGATGGAGTCCAGGGATGGAACTGTCAGATCCTCATCGAGGGAATCGAGACATATGGGCTCAGACGGTGACTGAGGTGGTCGCTTGGCAACCTGGGCAGCAGGGGAAGGAGTGGCGCCTGCTGAGGGTGTGGCCCGCTGAACCCAGACAGCCTCCTGGATTTAAAGATTACAGAAGAATAACACAGACTTTTTCATAACTTTACTCCTAATGGTATTAAAACCGGTTTTCGAGTTTCTCTGACAACATGACTCTCATGCCCACATGTGCGGTGCATTTAAAGATCATCTTTTAGTTGCTCTGATCATTCCTCCTCAGAAGAGTCCTCCCTTTCTAACCCAGGGGCAGAGATGGGGATTAAATCTACTTGTTCTGTGTAAAAGTTTAACTGAGAGTAGATGAGACTTCAGCAGAGTGAGACAAATCTAGAGGGTGTCTTCCAAACAAGGTATTGAGATGTGAGTCCCGATTTCAGTTGGAATGATTGTTAAAGTAGAAATCTACTTGAGTCTGACTCAGGCTGCTGAAACTTTATATTAGTTAGAGCCAAATATTAGAACACAGAGTGTTATATGTCAATTAGTGTCCATGATAAGCAACAATATAACATAACATGCATACCACAAACTAAACCGAGTAGGACCCAGTGAACCACTTTTAAAGAACAACTAATTAAAAGTCTGACCTTTGGCTTGGCCTTGGGAGTAGGCACCATCTTCTTCTTTGCTCTGGAGTGAAATGACAACACACATGAGTGAGAACAAGCTAAAATAACAGAGTCAGTTATGAGAAAACTGGAACAGTGAGTTACATGA